AACTCAATATCTAAATTTTTACCTGCTAGTTTGAGACTAGAATGATTATCTGAAACAATCTGCATAACATTCTGAGGTTTCTATCAGCTTAATCTGCTCATCAAATATCTGATACATTCTTTCACCCGTCTTTATCTCCTCGGAAGCATCAATAGAAGAAAAAAATATTGTACCAAGAGGAGAATTTGGGAGAAAATTGAACAATGACCTATCTTTTCGGTCACTTCAACCATCTGACATGAAAGAACAACCTTTGGTGGCCTACACTTTTTTATGAGGTTTCATCAAATCTTCAGTGTATTTTTCTCCTTAAGCAAAGACTCCCGTAAGTGGTGGAATGTCGGAGACGGCTAGTTCAGCCAAAAGCTCCCACAGACTTCAACATAATTCTGAATGACCTAAGCTGTGCTGCATTAAAGGGAATGTCGGTTTGATACCACTAACGAGCAATGTCTTGGTGCACTTTAGCTATTGCATCTTTGTTGAGGCTTTCATCAATACGCGTTTGCCTCAACTTACGTCTTTTGTCATTCTTAGCGACCTCTAGCGCTAGATCAAAGGTGAGAAATGCATCCATCGGCTACTTCCTCTTTGTTGAAGACCCCACACTATTCAAGCCCAAACTTCCCCTTCCTCTTGCTATTATGGAAGATGATCTATGAGTAGGAGCCAATGGACCTTTCCCCTTGTCTCTAGTTACTTGTAGTTGTTCCTCTTCAAGCTCCTCATATTCATTGATCTCTACCATATTTTCATCTCCAAGCTCCGGAAGGTAATCATCCATAATTTGTTATCTTCTAGCACTCTCTTGCCTTTCTTCATACTCCTTTAGCTCTTCAACTACACCAGGAGGGGCTATTTGACAAATAGAAACATTTTTGCGTTTCCTTTTGTCCCAATAAGATGCTCCTTTTGTCTTGATATATCGCCATTTGTGATCTTATTACAAAATATGCACTTGTGTTTGTTGACATTTCCTTCGTCCACAAGTGAAGTGTATTTCCACGTAGGATCATGTCTTCTCCCACTACCGGCTGATGAAGACATACCTAATTACTTACGCAAAAACACATAAATTAACAACTTTACTACGTAAGTACATAGATTTAGTGAATCACACTTCTACTTTAATTTTCATTATTTTATAATCATACAAGTTATACATAATCATATTAGTGTATTGCATCACTAACAATTTCATCACTAACAATTACATTGCTAATTTACTATTTACATGTTACAAAAGGAAAATCAGCTACGACGGCTAGTGGCCAATGTTTTAAATATCGGATATCGGGTTCATGTCGGACAGCTAAAATCTATGTCGGATAGCGGAAATCAGGGATATATCAGCGGACATGAACTAAATATCGGATTACCATATCGGGTGGTGCGTATATATATAATATCATGTCCTAAATATAATCTAAGTATTCCTAAATTCAATATAAGCATACTTTATAAATTCTAGAGGCAGCGCCGACGATGGGTGGATTCCGACGTCGTAGGGAGGCAGTGCCGATAATGAGATGTCGCAGGGAGGCAAAGCCGGGACTCTTCTACTTCTTCTGCTCGGGATCCTTCGGATGAGTCACCGACCACTCTCTTCCCTTTATCCCGGCGATAGGATACCTTACTGCCCTGGGGTTCGGTTGGGGTTTGTATTTCGAGGCGTAACGGGAGATGGATGACGGGGGTTCGAGATGGAGGTGGGGAAGGGTGTCGTCGTCCACGAAAGAAATGATCGGTTTTCAAGTCCGCTGTAGTACTAAATTTTCTTTTCTTTCTATCGGGTTCATAATAAACCCTTAAACATGAGAATGGGTCAAACGAGTTTGGGTTTTTATCACTAAACCCAAACTTGATAACAAAAAACAGATCTAAAAAAAATTCATATCAGCCGATTTTTCAGCCAAAAATCGGCCAATATGCCCGATATGTCCGCGATATTTTCGATTTGGCCCTGAAAACCAACATACGAGTTGAGAACGTCCATGTCGTGTCGCTCAAGCCCTCAAACCGACATGTCGACTGATACGTCGGACATGTCGGTCGACATTTAAAACCTTGCTGGTGGCAACAATATTCATTAGTCTAAATTCTCAAAACAATGTTAAATGAACAATATAGCAACAAGCATCTAATAATCAACCAGACTGTTACTGTAGCAGCAACAACAGTACTTTTACTGTATCAGCAGCAGTATGGCAGTCATTTCAAAAGAAAAAGGAAAAGAAAGAAAAAAAAATAGAAGGAAAAAGTATCGTTACTGTAGCAGCAGCAGTAGGGCAGTCAGTTCAAAAGAAAAAGAAAAACAAAAGAAAAAAAAGAAAGAAAATTAGAAGAAAAATATCTAATAATCAACCAAACGGCACCACACTGTAGCAGCGGTAGTAGGGCGGTCAGTTCAAAAGAAAAAGAAAAAGAAAGAAAAAAAGAAAAAAAATTAGAAGAGAAAGGAGCTGCAGCTGTGGAAAAAAGATAATAAAGAAGAAGAAGAAGAACTGAAGAAGAAGAAGAACTGAAGAAGAAGAAGAAGAAAAAGAAGAAATAGAGAGGGACTGATCTGGGTGTTGCTGTTGTTGTTGCCTGCCTTTCGCGGTGTTGCTGTTGCTGTCCTACAAAAGTGAGAGGAAACAGTGGAAAAAAGAAACCTTAGCTCTTAGCCGACCAGATTGGATGAGTTAAGTGTAGTGGGAATCGGGTCTAGACCCAATAACCCGCTATTTCTAAATTAAAAAAACCCCTTAATCTGCTATTTCTCAAGCGCGCACCCCATGCAACGCGCGAGGCGCTTGCAGGGTGCTCCCAGGAGTGCGCCTGAGGGAAGCGCTTGCGGGGCGCTCCCAGGAGCGCGCCTTAGGGAAGCACAGCGCCCTGCAGCTGTGCTTGTGCGGCGAAGCGCATCGCGCCTCAAGCGCGCACCTCAGATCGCCTCTAATAACAGTGATTTGTCACTTGGAATAGCTCTAATCAAGGCTTTAGACTTGGGTAATTAGGGTTTTTATGCCAACGATTATCATGAATACTATAACTTGATTAATAACTTTAATGAGACCAACTAATATTGTCATACTATAGGGTTATATGCATTGAAATTGCCGATATAAGGTCGGTACCGATAACGGTATCCAATTATTGAAACGAAAAAGATTTGAGATCTTACATAGCTGGCAGTGACATTTTTACTCATGTGGGCCCACTGAATTCCTTCATCTGCTACACGATAGGATAAGGCTCTGGAGAGCGTTATCTCTAAAATTCATTGAATTATATTTTTCACTTTATTTTTTTAAACATGAGAACGCTAATTAGTGATGAAGCTTGATACTCGTGGAACTTGAAAATTTTGACCTTGAGTAGTAAAAATGGGAGTTTCCACAAGGATAAGGAAATGCTTTGTAAAGTTAGATTTTATACACACATGTATAAAAAATAGATGGCTTATACAAGTACTATACAATTGGTACATATTGTATGGTTGGCGTTATATTTTAACTTGTAGCACTAGGCTGATGTGGCACTTACCGTGATTTGTTGCAAAATGCCATCTTCTACAATTGAGTAAGTGATAATTATGGACAAGAGTTAAACTATTATTGCACTACAACACAAAAAAACGGAACTTTTTTAAAATGCAGAGGAGTTATGAGTTTCTATGGATCCCATTTCTTTGTGTGTAGTACATGACTATTGTCATACTCTTATTCCAATTCTACTAGAATTCAGTGAATCCATCACCATTTAGAGGTTCAAATATTGCTGTTGAAAAACTATATTTGTTCAAAATATGGCGGGGAAGTAATGATATAAACTTGTTTAAATTTATACATGAAAAATCAAATGCCTAAATTTTTTGATTATTTCTTTCTAACTTTCAAGAGTAAACTTAATTTACGTATCTTATTCAAAAAATATATAGAATAAACGAACAACCAATCTACGATATATAAATATTTTTAAATCTAACTCCATTACAAAAGCATTTAGAAACTTATTCTAACTTTGCTCAGGCCACACAAAAAAAAGAAAAACAAGAAAAAAAGTTCATCACAATTTATAATAAAAAATGCAACTATGTACGCCTAGCGATGATAACCCTCGAGAAGACTGACACCATAGTTTATTGTGAACTCTGATCTCTTGCTCAAACAGATATTTGCCCAACAAAATAAAATTAGAAATTAGAGAAATTGTAGAGAATTGTTGAGGAATAATAGAGAGTTTGCTCACTATTTTCTTATGTTCTTCATCTTTCTCTGAGATCCCTTTAATAGCCTTCTAGAATAGTGGTTCCTTGATTTCTTCCGTTTAGTATTCATCGCCAGGGGAGTTGCTCGCCTGAATGTATTCTTATTTGTTTTGAGTTTTGAAATTTTTCATGGAAAGAAAAATAATAAAGTGACTTAAAAGAAAAAAAAAAGATTTAAAGTAAACCATTAGAAAGAAGCTAGATGTTTACATATAATAGCGCATAAATTTAAAAGTAAATCGAGGAGAAATGGTTTAAATGGCCTATATGAATTATTGGATGTTTGGTTGACAGATTCGTGGTTGTTGACTTGTAAGACAAAGGATGAATATAATTGTGGTTGGATGAATGTTGTCATAAATTTATTTATCCATTAGTTGTTCAGAAAATAAGGATTAACTGGAGAAAAGGCTTAATGAGAAATTCTTCTAGAATAAGTTTTATTCATAAAGGCTTAATTAGATTTTCTTCTAGAATTCATAATACAAACTCGAGACAAAATATTTATTACATTTTAAAATTTCGGAGAGTTGAAAGAGGTAGCCAACTTTAATGTCCAGTGACTTCAGTCAATATCCTGATTGGTATTCAACGATTTAAGCTCTACGAGACATATGTAGCTTGCAATCTTTTAGTGGTAGGTGAGCATAAAAAGTAGCTCGCAGGGTGTAAAAGAGAGAAAGAAAGGGTGATCTTTCAATGTGCATATCTTTTATATTAATCCCCTTCAATCCCTTGTTTATGGCAGGTACATCGGCTTGATAGAGATAGCAGCGGCCTACTATTATTGGGAAGAAAAAAAGAAAGCATTGCTAGGTTGCACTGGCTGTTTAGTGACGTTAATCTAGCCAAGATGTCTTCGCAGGTATTTATCTATGCATTTTTTGTGAATACCAAAAACCAATTATGACAAATATCTCAATAAAATAAAAAAAGTCAATTGGAGATGATTAGTAGCTATAAACTCTTATGCTTGATCTCATTTCATTGATCTCTGACATATCAGGATGAAACAAGTCTTCTGAGAACCATGAAGAGAACCAAGTACATTCCTCTAGTTCATGTTACTAGGAAGATTTATGAAGGTGCTAGCCTCAGTGCATATAGTCATTCTAGACATATTTGTGAAGTACATGCCTCTAGTTGGTGTTAGTAGGAAGATTTATGAAGGTGCTAGCCTTAGTGCATATAGTCATTCTAATCATGATATACTTTAGCTTAAAATAACAACCTTAACGTGAGATGTTCATCTTTTGCTTTTTTGTGGACAACAATGACTTGGCAATGTTGGCGTGTGAGCTTAGTTTTGTGTTTAGCTCTCAACTCCTGGATGAAAACAGTACTTCTTGTTTTTACTGATCTTTAATTTTTATATCAACAAATTCGAAGGTTAATTTGCAAATAAATTTCAAAAACTGTATTATTCCTTTTTTCTACTTTTAAATAAAAAAGCATCTATTTTTCATTTGAAAATTTGACTTTCTTTTCCTTAACGAGACACTTCCTCTACTAACATGCTACCTAGGTTTGGAATGATGCTTGTGAAGCAACGACACAGAGATATTGGGCGTTGGTCATTGGTTCTCCCAAAGAAAAGCAAGGAGTAATTACTGCTCCTCTTTCGAGGGTATATTTTTCTTGATTTTTCTTGCCATATATTAGTTAGATACCTAAATAGGGGATAATTTGCCTTGCAACCATTTCATACCCAGGGGCAGATGTGGAAATATTCTCCAGAGACGCTAAGCCTAATATACTGTGCTTCTGTACAGGTTTCTATATTACTCATCTTTGTACTGAAATTGCTAATAGGGGAAGCCATGATGTACATGCAAATCTGTTGCTTTGGGGCCACTATTGAGGGAGGGCTCTAGTCCACCAACTTTTTTACCCCTTGAGGGAGGGCTCTTCCATTTTTATCACTTGAGGGAGGGCGCTTCTAAACTTAAGTGGATAAAAGCTCTCGTCCACCAACTTTTTTATTCCTTGGTTTTTGCTATGTGATTTGTGCTACGCATCAAGGCTATCTTTGAGATGTGTGCTGTAGCACAAATCTCAAAACAAAAATGTTGGACAAGAGCTCCTCTCCACTTAAATTTATTCTTGCTTTACTGTATATATTATGGTATATTTAGACGTTTTGGGTTGTAAATGTAGATACATGAGATTGTGTTTTCCTCCTGGTTCCATTTCCATTTTTAGTTGGCCAATATCCCAGCTGCTGCATCGAAGTTGACTAGAGGCATAAACATATAGGAATAAATCAACTGAAGTATCATTCGAAAAGTACGCTCTATTACATCCATAACTTCATACTTAAGAGAGTAAGGGCTAACAGTAGGTGTTACCTAACCTCATTGTTGTTACAATGTATATTAAAAGGATGCTACCATTTTGGCGGCCCACATGCCTTCACCTCCCTCCACCCTGATCATATTTATTATTCACATTTTATGAGGTGGAAACCTCTTTTGCTCATGTCCTTAATCCTAGTATTATGAATGTTTGAGACCATTTGACTACTCTCTGTAGAAAAGAGTTTTGATACTATTTTGGCTGTATTTTAATCTTATTCACAATGTGAATTACTGCAGAAGCTTTGAATCATAAGTTTTAATGATTCAAGCTATTGATTTCGTCTTTTGATTTTTTATTCTTATTGGTGAAATTGATTGCAGGTTTTCCTGAATGATGGGAAAATGGAAAGAGTAATTCTAGCACATCCTTCAGGTATGGATGGCTCTCAAGAAGCTGTAACTGAATTCCGAGTCCTGGGACCTACCATCAATGGTTGCTCATGGATTGAGCTGCGCCCACTTACTGGAAGAAAACATCAGGTAGCTCTGAATAATTTAGTCTCCTAATGACATTTTTGCTATCAGCTGGACTGATCTGTCCAAATTTATTAACAATCTTGATGATTATGTTGTACTTCCGAAAGCAGTGTTCTGGGCTGATTGATGCCAATTTTCAGTGTTTTCAAACTTGCTGCATAATTGTTCAATCCATAAAAATGTCTGTTTATGTACTGCCTACCTGAAGTGTTTATATGTAAAGTTTTCACTGATAGAGCTCTTGCAATCTTTTGGATTCCTTAGCTCGTCGCCACACCAGATGCAGGGAGGCAGATCTTCTGAACAGTATTATGTCAGTGAAGGGTGAACTTATAAATAATCTCAGTTTTTAAATTCTTTTGGACACACTGACTGTTAGAAAGACATGTAAGCTTTTTCTCCTATGCTCACACTTGTGGGAATGGGATCTTCTCTGTTGTTGCTTGCTAACCGCGCGTTGAGAGGAATTGATATTTGCATTCACCAAGGAGGCAAGGTGTTGACATATTTTACGTATACATATACATATTTACACGCACACGCACACCCAGCCAGCCAGCCACCAACACATCTTTGTATGTGTGTGTCTGCATCTTCAGTGGGATACACGGAAGCATTTTATCTTCGATAAATGATTGTCAACAAAGGAGAGTGCTTAGTTCAATGAGTGACAACATGCTAAAATATACTATAAAATGAGCTAATTTGTAAGAGGTTAGAGGTTGCTCCTATCAGGGTTACAACAAGAGATTAATTTTGCCTCACATCTTTATAAGTGTGTCTGTGTTTAAGTAAATAAATGGAGGCATTTAATCTTTGAAAAATGATTGTCAACAAATGAGACCACTGAGATCGACGACATGCTAAAAGATACTATAAAATGAGTAATCTGTAAGAGGTTAGAGGTTGCTCCTATCGAGGTTACAACAACAGACAATTAAATTTTGATGCATCAGACATGTACACTATGAGACCGATAGGCGCACCTTTGGAGAAATGATGGGATCATAGTTACTAGAGCATTGAAAACTAGAAATCTAAATGTCATGGATGGAGGCGATTAAGCATAAGGAGCTACTAATTTAATCAAGGAGACGCCCTTTTGCGAAACTGAGCAGAAGATGAGGATTCATATATCCGAAAATTTTGAGATAAAAAGTCTTTCTTGTTGTTCACTAAGTTTGTGAAGATGGTTTCCCTGTGAATGCATATAAATGATATATAATACCATTATACATCGATACACATTAAAAATCAAGTTCACATATAGTATCTGGTCTTGTACCTAACAAATAAGCTAAGATAGTGTTCGTTGCAAAGTAAGTAATCAATAACCTATTCTATAACTGTTTCACATCTGCCGTCCTCGATGATTAGTGGTTTTGGGTTGTAACTTATATGATTACTCTGTGTAATCTACTTATTCTCCTTTACAGCTCCGAGTGCATTGTGCTGAAGCACTAGGCACTCCAATCGTCGGGGACTACAAGTATGGTTGGTTTACTCACAAAAGGTGGAAACAAATGCCTCGTGTAGACTACGAACCAGCCTCTGGCGAGCCATACAAGCTCCGGAGACCAGAGGGCTTGGATGTTCAGAAGGGCAGTGTTCTATCCAAAGTCCCTTTACTTCACCTCCATTGTAGAGAGATGGTAATTCCTAATATTGCGAAGTTTATGGGTAATTCAGGCCAATGGTATGATGAAGGCAATCCTTGGTCTTCTGAGAAGCCAAGCGTTCTTCGATTTGTAGCGCCAATGCCTTCGCATATGAAAATAAGTTGGAATATTATGTCATCTTACTTGGTTTGAGTTATTTTGGGTTATAGTATTTATTTAACATTGTTTTGACGGTTTTGTATTTTAAGGACGTTGTTGAAAGAAATAGAATGTTCAATATCTGGTTGGCAGTCTGTTGTAATTTTTTTTTTTGAGTGTGGGTGCTAATTTGAATATTCGATTAAAAAAATTGTACTTGTGTTATAATATGCTGTGTTTTAACTTGTAAATTCCCAAGAAATCAAGCCGTGCGTGCATGCTTTACTTTTGCACGGTCTCGAGGTGGAGTTTATAGATGATATGTTTAAGTGGGAGAATAGGAGAATCAGAATGTACAGTATTTCTTTATGATTATCGTATATTTAAAACAAGCAAGGTTGTTGAATAATAACATAAAACACTTTTGCTCTGAAAAATAAAAGGAAGAGGAAACAAAACATTCAGAAGATCTTTTCCTTTTACCCCCCCCAAAAAAAAAGATCAACCGGACGTATAAAACATTTTCGGATCTCTCTCTATTTCTCACACATATACAATGTACGTGGTTAAACATCATGATTAGCTTATTTTGTTTATTTTCTTACTCGAATTTATTTCTCGATCCGCTTTGATAGTTTTTGTTCACTTATGTCTCTAAACATTAACATATGATTATTTATTTTCTTTGATGTTTGTTTAATTGAGCTAAACCCAATTTAAATTTTTATGTTGATGATTGAATTGACCTGAAACAATGTGACCCGAAGCCAATTGAATTATCATATTATTTGGACCGACTTGAAATCAAACTTGACTTGAGGAAGTGCAGTGTTGCAAAAGTAAAAAAAATACTTTAGAAAAATAGCGTTATAAAATAAAGATGAATAATTAAAGCTAATAAGACAAGATCAGTTAAAAGTGGGCTAAAACAACACAAGAGAATGTGGAGTTTGTTCGTAATCCTTGATAGAATTTATAAAAAAGTCATAAATTAAGATTAATGCTAACTCCAGTATAGTTTTATACGAGAATAGCATCCACATAAGCATATAAAAGTACTAAAAAAAAGTTCATGAAAATCCCTTCTAAAAATTCCTAATTTACTTAGAAAAATAAATTATTATATAAAATATTTAGAAAATAGTGTCTTTCATTTGTTCTGTTTCATTTTTTATTGATGTGACATCAATCCTTCTCTACCTTTATCCTTTTTAATAAAATTAGACTACATTTAGATACTAAAAATAGATAGTAAACCTTAAATTGGAAGTTAAATTTAGATATTTTAATGAAAGAAAATAAAACAACTACTCTTTTCTTTGCTAAGTTTTAAAATTTTAGTCTTTTTTTGTGATTTTGAATTTTGAGAGTTTGTTTTGCAAATTCTAAATCTTTGAGATTATTTTTAAAAAAATTTAAACTTTAATTTGGGTGCTTGTAATTTTCATATTTCATATGTTGGTGGTAAGTTTTCGAGTGTTAGGATATTTCTTGCAACTCCGAAATTTTAAGAGTGTTTTTTCTAATTATTAAAACTATGAGTTATTTTTTATAAATTCAAAATTTTATCAGTTTGTTGATAATTCCTAGATTTGATATGTAATGGTTATAGGTTTTGAAAATTTGGGGTTTTTTTAATGATTTTTAACTTTTGAAGGACTTGTCTTGCAATTTTTATTACTTTAAGGTTATTTTTTGCAAATTTTTAAATTTCCAAGTGCTTGGTTGTAATCCATTAAATTCTTCTTTGTTGTTTGTACTTTTTAAAAATTTAAAATTTTTAGGGTGCTTTTTTATTATTGAACTTTTGAGGGTGTTACTACAACTTTTAAAATGTTGAGAGTGTTAATTACAGATTTTAATTTCTTCGAAGACTGTTATAAATTTTTAGATTACATGTTTGTTATTTTTACTTTTGAACCATCAGGATGTTTTGAGTAATTTTAAACTTTTAAGGGTAGGTTGTGCAATTTTTAAAATTTTGGGTTATTTTCAAATACTTCATATATTATAGTATGTTAGTTCTTCACGTTAACAAATTTAATACCATAGAGTTGTTTCATGTATTTTATTAATTTTATTTTTTTTTTAAATTGTTGAGCTATAGATAGTTTATATGAGACTAGAATATAATTATGATTTAGGATAAACTAAAATTTAAATGGAATATTCAAAATAGTAAAAAATAATATTGATCATGAAAAACTTATCTTGAACACGTGCTTTTATTAAAAAAATATAAATGTGTATATATATATATATATATATACTAATATATATATATATACTAATATATATATATATATATAATATAATATATAATGTTATATGAGTATGTATATAGTATATATACTGAGAAAAACGGGAGGTGGCTGCAGCGTAGGAATTTCCATACGCCTGCAAGGTGTATGACATGTGAGCCCACACCGAGTGAGCTAGCTAGGGGGGTTCCAACATGTCATCACTTGCCCAGCGTCAGGAAATTTCCATAACGCTGCCAGCGTCACCTCCCAGATTTCTCTTCTCTCTCTCTCTCTCTCTCTCTACTCTCTCTCTCTCTGCTCTCTCTATACTATTTATATATATATATATATACATATAATATAATTTATATCATATATATATATATATTATATATATATATATATGAATACAGCGTAACGCGTATCTTATATAATAGTATAGGGCTTGCGGAGTCACTAGAATCCCTTTGCAATAGCCTCTTTTCTGACCCTAATATGGGACCTTAGTGTGGGACACGCTGAGCTGGGCTGGTTCCAACCTCGGCCAATTAAGAAATAATGATAGCCCGTAAACACGGGCACAATCCCAACCACAGACACATCTCTCATTTGCTAGCAGTGCATCGAGCCCCACTGAGATTTTAAATAAATTCCCATATGGGGTCGCGATGCACGCTAGCCAAATAAGAGAGAGGGTAGGTGGTTGGTGGGTTGCCCCTCAATCCACCCGGCAATTAATCAGACGATACAATGTCAGTTTTGGAATGAAACTTTATCAAAATCAGAAAGATATTATTGGTGGGGGGGGGGCGGGGGAAGGCCGCTCGGACCTGGCAATTTCATCCGCGATGTGTAGGATGACGGGTAGAAAGACTATTCAATAGGAGGATCGGAGCATTTGAGCACGCTAGGTCTACAATGGAGAACACTCATAGGCTGCGTTTGGCAACGGGTTAAGGAGGAGGCGATTAAAGAGAAGGGTTAACCTTAGTTAATCATCGTGAAGGGCTTAAAAAATTCCTAACCCTGTTTGGATACAATAGTTAAGACAGGGTAAGTTTTTTGCGTTTGGCAACATGGAGAGGGCGTTAAGGAGATTAATCTCATTATCTTTTTTTAAAAATACCACTTTGCCCCTATTGAGCATTTATAAAGTAATTACATCATCAAAACCAAAAAATTAGAAAAACTTTGGACATTCATACCTCCAAGTAATTCTTTGTTAACACAATGTAAATTTCTTAAAATAATGTAACAAAGTGGCTAAGTAAGATTAATCTAATTAATCTGCTGTTTTACCAATATGCAAGTAGGGAATAATCGATACTAATTTAATAATCTCTGTTAACATAATGTATCCATCATTATACAAACACAGTAAAACATCTAAATTACAAAGTGAGCAACAAAAAAATTAGGTTTCATGCTCTCGTCATAACAAGTAGTGAGTCCAAGAATTAGCTTTTACGAAGGAGACTGATTCTCATTATAGATGTATGTCTTATGAGCCGCGTAAGGGTTTTGACACAGCATCAAGGCCAAGATCCATTGTCTGTTCAAAAGAATTCTAAATAGTAGTGTACAGAATTCTAGAATACTAGTAATGTGTAGCTTTTATATTGTTGAAGTGTTTGTCACTCTGTTTCAAAGAACTGACAAATATACCAAGAACTATGATTTTCTTAAACAAGAAATCAAACAAGCCATACTATAATAAGCGTAATTATTAGAAACATGCAATATTGAATCCTTAATTAGGCGCTCGTCGGTGCAATTAGCCAATAGGAGAATGGGAAATAAAATAGACTTCGTGTAGTAATGCCTCAAGGATTTCTTTATGCATCTATAAAACAAATTCATACCTATATTAGTGCTTATGCATCTATAAAATTTTATACGCTCTTAAAACATATATACCTCGATGGTATCATTTTGAGTTTCTTGATGAAGTTCTTTTGCTTGGATTCGGAGGGTGGGAGGGGAGGGGGTGGGGGAAGTCTCACACTGCAACCGCCACCATAGATAGCCTGAACATACAAATCAGTATGGCATCAATATACCTTAGTTGAAATATTGCATCAAAGTTCACATGTTTGACAAAATTAATGATGACTAATATTATGGTTTTTGCGCATACCTCAAAACATTAGATATTCTATCTAGAAGTAGTACAAGTTTTGCCAGCATCATTCTGGGCTAAATAAGTACATCTTACGTGGACTTCCGAGAGTCACTGCGTAGGATTTCCTTATGTACGCATCGCATAACAGACATTATATGACGTGCAAATCCATTATATATAAACAAAAGAAAAAAATAATTTAACCTAGAGCGACCACCAGAATATTTTAACCCAAAAACGAGCGCACCTTTGAAACTAGGTGATCAGTAATTAATCAAGTTAAAAACCAACAGTACTTGCCCTCAGTGAAGTTGTATTTGTTGATCCTAAATTTGACTGGGCCAATCCTTTGAAATGATAGCCACCAAGGCCCAAACTCTACAATCATGTTGCTATCTACGACTAGAAGGTTCATGGAGCTACGAAGCATCAGGTCCTGATTGTTATCTTCTGGAAGATTGTCCAGCAGCAAACAAAATTCACGATGTGACTTGTAAGATTAAAGGTCATGACACATAAAGACTCTTTTCCTCATACTACAAATTTGATATAAGGTACATCTAATCATCTCAAGTTTGGTGAATTTTGGTACAAGGAACAGAGACATCTGCAAAGACACGATGCAGTTTAAAAGAGGCAGGGAAAATAACATGACAATATTTATAATAAATAAATTCTGTAAGTAGTAACTCGTAGAAACAAATTATAATCCGCGAAATTGTGTTATTCAGTTTCAGTTTTAATGCTAGCTAAAAACTAAACCAAGACGAGATGTCACTCCCCATATATTTAAGAAAGACAAAATTTTATGTTAGGCATTTGAGCACATGAGATGTGTTGTTAGGCCCATTCATAATCAT